CTTGCGAAAGCATCCCACACATATCAACGGCCTCTACGCATGCTGCTATTAATCCACTCAGTTAAGACACTTTTTTTCCCGGTTGAAAGGGCGCGTTCACTCAGTCTGCCCTTACTTGCTCTTGGTGGCAACGATTGATTGCCGAGTTAGGTAGGGCTCTAGTTATATGCTCTCAAGTCATAATAAATTTTAGTCCTTATAAGTTTGTCCGTGAACGTTACTTCATAAAAAAGTTCTATATCTTCGGGTATTTGGCAAAACTTCTCCTCGAACCTGTGGTGTGCGTCTTGATGTTGCTACACAAATGGACGGACCACAGTTCTGCACCGTCTCCGAACAGCACGTGCGTTTTATGAGAAGCATTTACATACATACAAGCATACACTCGGAGGTTTTAGTTTGCCTGCCGATGGGCGACCACTGTTACAAAAAAAAAAACTTTTTTTGATTTAGAAATTAGCCAGGTCCTACGGAGTGGCAGTACGCACCTCTGACCACTCAAGTAAGCGGCCGCACGACTACATAGGTGTCTTAAAAAGTTTTTGCTGACAAATTTGTGCCCTGCAGAAAAAAATTATCAATTGATTAAAATAACCAACTTCTCGTTAGCTTTTTTGCGGGATTTCGATAAATAACTAACTTTTAATTAGCCATGACAAAACTAACTTTAAGTTAGTTGTAAAGTCGTGCAGGAGTCATGCAAACGTTATCGAGAGTTTGGTTTCTTTATAAGTTTCTATCGAAATATCCTCATACAAAAAAAAATTTCAATACAATTTTTTTTGCACTTCACAGATTCTTTTTCGTATTCAGGACAAATAAAATAAAGGTCGAAATTTTATATTATCATTTTGAACTTATGTCTTATCGAATTCAAATATTAGCCCACCTACAAGAGAACGTGTAAACAAATAAGCAAATATGTGATGCTAAATAAAATAAGTAAATAAATAAAAATTTAAAAAATCTTTTTGTTTTATTGATAGTTTATGTCCAAAAGTAGTTAGCTGCAAGCTAGTTGAAATCTAATGCAGAGGAAACCAGTTCTCCATATTTTGCGGCCATCGCCCTTCAAATGTAGTTGGTTACGGCCAAAGGAAATAGTTAATAAATAGTTAGCACTAGTCGACTGCTACAAACTAGTCCCATTTCCTGCAGGGTGTAGCCTACTTGTTGCCAAACCTATTGAGTTCAGAAGATATTTGATCTCGCTAGCGTGGACTTCCACACATTCAAATGTCTTCCTTGGCATCTAATTTGGTCGGAAATATCGTTTTATATTTTTGATTTTCTGCTTGCAAACGATCAACGATCGTCAATCACTAAACGTGCTTTAGTGATAGTTACTCACCATTTTCAGTTTATAAATAGGCACTTACTGCTTGCTGCCACTTAAAGTATAATGAAACTGATCATCCTATAAAGTTGAAGAAATTGACGATCGAAATCACGACGTTCAATGACTACAATATAACCGCAGGCATAATTTTTGAGAAGCGGCGGTTAGCTACAATTACCCGTATCGATACTACTTAGGGCAGGTAATGCAGAGAGACAGACAGCTTTTTTGTTAACTTTGCTGCTATATAAATATATATACACACATTTATGTATATACATTCATACATTTGCAGCCATATTAGTGCGATCTGTTAATCTACAAAAGCGTGTTGAGCAGCGCGCCACCTTTCATGCTATTTTCTATAAAAGTTTGTGTCTAACTGTAGATATTTGTTATTGTCTGCAATGCTTAAGCCTTTTGTTTGGCCTAAACGTATCACCGCTACCTACTTAGCTCACCCACTTCAACGGCGATCAATTGAAGATCGGTTTAAATGTCTCATGCAACTCGCCGCGCGCGATATTGTTGCTGCATTCATTGTTATCGATTTTATTTCGTTTTTGATATTTTTATATTATTTAGGTATGTAGGTAGTTGTGTTGCTCTTTTACTGTGCCAGTTTTCATTTTTTGCTTGAAGCACCGATCGTGCCCACTGATCGCGCATTTATCGATCGCATCACTTAATTTTTGGAGCGTGACATGCTGCGGCCGTTTTTTCGCCTTTTATGCAGTATTTATGTGTTTATTTTGCTTAAGCTGTCAGCATGTAACATTGGCTTTGTAACTCTTTTTAGTTTTTTTTTTTGGGCTCTTTTTCGGTATTAATATTTTTTATTTTTTGGCGATTTCAGAGCTCTTTACATTTTTAATTCATAAAAAAACGCACCGGTAAATTGCAAAAAAAAGCTGAATATGAAAAAATTACATTTCATGACTGAAAAATAAAAACAAGTACATAAATACATGTACTTTCATAGGCAATAAATAAAAAGTTAAGCAACGCACAGTGTTTCCCTTTCGTACAAAATGTGGGCAAAAATAGAATTATGAACGCATTTAAATCAAAAATTAGTTTCTTAGCGAATTTGAGGATGCTGTATTTAAAAATGAAAGAGTTCAAAGATGTAATTTTTTTTTGATAACTTTCGGACTTCCATTGTAAGTGCAGTTTGAAGTTGAAACTTTGTGATCTTGTGGCATTTAGGTACATACAGTTTGTTCGATTTTCAAAAATTATGTGCTAAATTATAGGGCTTGGGCTATAGATGTGCTAAGTTTTTGAGAAGGATTGCCACCTGTTAAAAAATTTAACTCAAATTAATTAATATTTAAATTAAATTATTAATGTTGTGTGTCAACCGAAATGGTTTTGAAAAGGCTTTGTTCAGAAACTACACATAGGAGGGTTGCCACCTGTTTAAAGAGTCAAATTCAACTGGTCTGCGTGGCCATCGGAGCAGCTATGCGCTTCTATCCAACGCCTTTGCTGTCATTACTTGCATTCCTTCCCTGTATATTCTGATTGAAAAAGAGGCCTGCTGGAGTGCCCTACGTCTTCTCAGTACTAGTAGCTTCAAAAGTAGAGATCCTCTGGGTCAGGCGGAGGTCTTCCGAATCGAAGTCTGTGTTCGGGAATGTCTTTATAGAAGAAAATGGGGTCAGAATAAATATTATGGCTGATAGTTAGGCAGCACAAACGGCCTTAGACTATTTTAAAATAGCATCAAGGCTTGAGCACAACTGTAAAACTCTTTTGAACAACCTGGTAGCCAACAACAGCGTAACGCTGTGGTGGATTCCAGGACCCGAAGGGTTTGTAGGCAACAAAAGGGATGACTGCCTCGCAAAGTGTGGAGCCCAAACGCGCTTGCATGGTCCCAACCTTTTCTGCGGTACATCTGAAGGATACACTGCAGAAATATTTAGGAGCTAGGAAAAATATCAGACTGATGCCCACTGGCGGAAGTCAAAAAGAATGCGACAATCAAATAGATTTATAACTGATGTATTGGGGAGGCTTTCCCGTCACCCCTTGTCAAATTTGGTTTGGAGACAAACCGGTTTCGTTCAACAATACATCATACTCTTACCCTGTCGGAAACACCAACAACAAAAATGAGAAGGATCATAATTCTTTCCAAAGCATATTCTATGTGACATATTATGAGTAGCAGACTGATACACCTTGGGCTCCGCAATCAATCTCCATCCATTACAATTAGGATTTATCACAATAGATCTTCTTAGGTCGCAGCGCGGGTATTCCCGACGTATTAATAATAATAGAAAGCCAAATTAATATGTTTATGCAACATTATCTGAAAAAAATATTAATACATTTACACAAAGCCCATTGTTTCAGAAAATGCGAACAACTTAAGGTTTTTATTTTTTTCTTCCGAAAGCTAAAAGCCTTTCTTTTAAAACAAACAACAAAGCATGTTATTACATTAAAAGTTTCCTTTTTAGCTATAAAATGGAATATTTAATTTTTTTTAATACCATAGAGCCACTATTTGTTTAATTTTTTTCCAATTTTTTATATTTTGATATTTTTTTAATATATCTACATATATATATATGAAAATATAAACACACCAAAAATTGTATTTCACAAAATGAAGAGCCTGAAGAACCTACGCTACTAATGCTTTAATAAAAATTCTTAGTATTAAATTTACAAATTTAGCGTTTTCCTGGCGGCATATTGTTTGGTTAAAAAGGAAATAATATTTTAATTCTTTTTAATGAATAAATTAACGCGAATTTTTCTAGTTTTGCCCACTAAGCAGGCCCGGTGCCGACGCTGCTTTATTTGGATAAAAGTCGTGATATGCCTGATAGTATTTTTTTATTTATTTTTTTTTTCATTTATCTTTTTTGCTACTCTCCAATTTTGCTGCGTCTTTTATAAATTCTTTTTCTCTGTTGCATGTTGACATAGTTTATATTTGAACATTTATTTCTTTATACATACTGCTGAGCTTATTAGTTTTTTTATTTTTACAATTTTTTGTTTATTAAAAAATTATCGCAAAAATCTGACCCAAATCTGCTACAAAGCAATAAACAATGTAGCAATAATTCTTAGTACTCATTTTTAATTTGCTAGATTTAATTTTTTTATGACTATTGTCTCAATGTATGTATGTACATACACATGCAAGTAGGTATGCGCATATGTTTAGCAAGCCAGTCAATTTTTCAATTATATTGCGTCGGCGGAGAAGTCCAACAATTTAGCATAGTTTATTGGCTGTTGGTGTTGCATTTGCGAAACATTTACAAATCTTGTATACATCTAGTATGTATGTATATATGCACATTTGAATTTATGTATGTGTAATGTGCATACTTGCATATGTAAATGTGTTTAAATTCCTATTTTGTCTTAATTGTCATATAATTTGCATACAGTTTTGAAGCTTAGCATATCCGAGTGGGTTCCTATCATCAGCTCATCTCACAATATTTTCGTGTAACACGTTTAAGAACTCGGTCAATTGTGACATTGTAATTTCTGAAATGAAATATTCTTAATACACAAAAAAAATCAGGGGTGTGTGCTCCTCTTAAATGGCTTGACCGATTCTTATGAAATTTTATTTGTGTACTTCTTGTGACACCTGGAAGGGTATAGGCTATAGTCGGTTTCCTTAAATGACGCGACACAAACTTAAGTTACTATGAAACCAGCACACTGTGAACGAAGCGTTCTTTTGTTCCTCGCTTAGAAGACGGTCTAACCCTGGTTGGCAAAGGTATCTTAACATATCCAAAGGCTGTAAATAGCCATGGTGTATGAATCCCTGGAACCAAGAGGTTAAATGCAATAAGTCTAAAGACAATTAAGGCCCACTGACTTGGTTAGAAAAGGAACATGACATTCGTGGGTGGCGACTATCGACTGTCCTATCTTGCGTACGTCAACATTGCGCTCCTACCTGACGTATGTTCGCCTGACGACTAGATAGAAGCATTAGACCTCAGTGGTACGAACTTTACTTCAAGCTTAGGAGCAAAAAGCCACCGGATAGCTCTGCTGGAAGGTGGATAGGCTGTGAAATAGGCAAAAATTTGTCTTTGCGGCGATCTCCGCGTAGGACACCGGTATAGTTGAGCTAGAATCTACTTCAAATGCCTGCATGGAGCTCTCTTCCTAGTTCGTGATGTTATAAGAGCCCCAACTAAGCACGACCATATCCAACAATGCAAATTCAACCCCTAAACCTCGAGATAGATATAGACAAATGTTTTCTAATATGTCTATCAACACTGACCAAAATATAAATATGCATATACTTTTACATATGCATACGAATCCGAATATAATCTTTTCGAACAAGAGACTTCTCATAAAGAACTTCTTCTCAATTTACTGCAGCATTACATACAGTTGGCACCTTTTTTTATTTTTGCTTATTTCCCATTACTTCCTGATAGCTTTTATTTAGTAGCTTACAGATTTTTTTTTGTTGTTGTTATGAATGTAAAATGCAATTCCTTCATGCGGCCACCTTTGCATTCAACTGCTGTTTATATCTTTATCAAGTTTTGTTAAGTACAGCGTTAAAATTTATTATCGTACTTCCCCAATGGGTATTTACGGGCATTAGCTGTGTTGTCGGCAGTAACTTACTTTATAACCATTTTTTAATCTTAAAAATAGCAGGTATGTTAAGAATACGCTATGTATGTCCGTCCATACATAAATGCTACCCTCGAACCATAAAACAGTAATTCATAATTTGCTGCAACTATGTATAATTTATGGCAGGAATACTAAAACAAATACCAAAACCATTCCAGCATTAATGTATAAATAAGATGCGCTTGAATGTTTGTTAGAAGATAATGACGAGAAAATTGCATACGATACTAAGTAGGGCAGAATAAGATTTGTATGTATGTAGTATGAAAGATGGTTAATACTTGAACAATTTTGTGAACGAAGCTTTAGAAATGCGTTAGACATAACTTGTATTCACGAGTAAGTTGTAGGAATGTAAGGAGTTGTACATGAGGGCGGGTGTTATTAGGCAAAGAAATCGGCAGACCGTTAGTGGAATTTTCGACGCATTTAACTCATTGTACTTTTAAAGACCTTCGACTATATACATCTAAACAAAGCCTCAAATAAGATTCTCTAATTTTCTAAAATCCCTTTAGCGTATTTCAATTTGAAAGAACATATTTTAATAATGAACTTTCGGGCGGTAGATCTTTGTATGGCAGAAAAAATCGCTCAAGACGTCAAAAAGGATTACTACTTCTACAAATGATGGAACACAACTCCCCTTCTGTTGTGCAATTCTTAACGCTCTTTCTTGAGTAGTGCAAATTAAGAGACCGAGTTGATTGTGTCACTATGCTGTAGCAGTCCATTACTTCACAATACAGGCTTTGAAGTCGTTTGGGTAGGATCATCGGTCTTCGACCATGATTGCTTGCTTAGCTTACTCACGTATTCAATCCAGTTTTCATGGCCCGTAATGACTCGCTTCAAAAATGATTAATTTTCGTTGCGTTTCATTCGGTCAATCAAACTTACTTTTTTTGCGTTAATTCATGTGGCACCCAAACGTCGAGCTTCTTATAGGCCTGCTCTTATTAGATGATTCCAACTTGTCATATTGTTGATGCTTAATGCCTCAACTATCTACTGACAGCTTGCATGCCGATCTTGCTCCACCATTTGCATTATTTCATCGACTTTTACAGTGAAAGACAGACCATAGCGATTTACATATCTATTCAACATCAAAATTTCTGGACCGGAGTAGAGCAAACCACTCCTGGATGCGGCATGTATTTGCAGCGTTTTCAAATTTGTTTATAGTAAAACATAGCGTATCTCTGCAGATATTTCACACACTTTCAAATCAATATGACTCTTTGTCTTCCCTAAGAATATAGCATGAAAGGTCGCCCTTCAAACGCACGTCAGTTTTACGCATTTGTATTAGTGTTGCCAGATGTATGAACATCAGCGCCGCATAGTGACAAAATTCCCTGAGAATTTTCATATGACCCAATATTGAGCATAATTCAGCTGCAAGAAAATGAATTCAGCGCAAGAAATTTCTTAACATTTATTTATTTCGCGCTCACTTAAAATTTATTATTGTTATTCAGCTTTAGTAAACACTTAATAGCAGTAAAAAGTCATTAATATTTCTCCATTTTACATTCAAAAAAATTGTTTTCTAAGTTTTTTAGCGCAATTCAGCTTCAAAAAATTCATTTCAGCATAATTTTTCGCATTTTTCCGTTTTTTTTATATTTAGGTCAATTTCGCACAACGCAACAAGTTCGGTTAACCAGTTAAAAATTCAGCTTCATAAAATTTCTTTCAGATATATATTTTAAGTGTTTTTCAGCGCAGCTCAGTTTAAAAAGTAATTAAATTCTGCTATATTTTTAATTCAGCACGAAAATTTTAATCATATACAATTCAGCTCCAAATCAGCTTAGCTAAATATTTATTTTCAATTACACATGCTACATTTCTGTGGTTGCTTTTTAATATTTAATTTCAGCTATTCTATTACCTATTTTTAAGTGCATTTTAACTTCAAAAAAATAAATTCAGCAATTTTTTTTTATTCAGCGCGAAAAATTTATTGATGTTCACTTATTTTTTAGCTGTGTGAAATTCATTCATGTTATTCAGCTCAAATTCAGCTAGCTCAACTTTAATAAATAATTCAACCACAATTTTTCGAATTTTTCCATTTCCATTTATCATAATACAATATATTCAGCACAATTCAGCTCCTAGGAAATTAATTCAGCAGCTTCTTACTTAAATTCAACTGGATTTTTTTTGCATTTGCCTGAAACACCATTTGCTTATTGTTCATTTTACCCAGTCTACTGTTCAATGAGATTTATACTGATGCACTTGGTCTGCAAGGACCACCCTAATATAGTATGTGCATACTTTCGGAACGCACTGTGTGCTATACCTTAGTTAAGCGCATTTGCGAATTTGATTAATTGCCGCAACATTTCCGTTGTTGCTGCTGCTTCGGTGATTGGCGTTGCAAGCAAATCGATGAGCAGCCAATGAGCCAAAGCGAATTGCAACATGAAACGAAATTGATTTACGCGTGAACATTTCAATACAAACAAGCAAACTAGTGAAAGAGCAAGACAATACCGTTACTATCAAGAAGTAAAGGTGGCCTCGACGGAAAGCGAGGTAAAATGTACGAAGGCAATAGAAGTAGTGCGGAAAATTATGTATGTATGTAAAAAGGCAAAGTAGTTTGTGAATACTGTGTGGCACGGAAATTGGCGCATAAATCACAGCTAGCGGGCGAATAAAAAATTATCAAAAAAAAAATTCGGTTTAAGTGATTGGTTTGAAATTTTGTTCTACAAAAATGTAAGCCGTTGCAGCAGTAAAAGCAATTTGTCAGCGTAAAAATTGGCTAAGACCCAGGCTAGGTTTTAGCTGTGCTTAGTTTGACCGAATGCTTAGTTGGCGCTGGCCATATGGCTTGTAATGCTGCGATTAGCTGGAGATAATCTGAGTTTTTTTCCTGCAAACGTATGTGCCGGAAAAATTTAGTGCAAACGCGGCATTTTCCGCTAATACACCGCGGGTGGTTATCAACAAATCAAAAGCAATAGCGCATGAAAGCTTTGAATCAGATAGGATTTTCCGCACAAATTTCAAGCCAAAAAAAAGGAGAATTTCATAAATAAATCAAGCTAGCTTAAATGGCCCAAAGGTTAGACGGCTCTAGTATACATATCTACCTGCACACATATATGCATTGTAATTCTATTTGCAAGCCAATGGCCTGTACCTACATATCTAAGCGCATTCAAACCTCAATGCTCATGTTCATACGCTTGTCCATTTTGATAGGCTCGCTTCATAGACAGTACCCACACATAAGTACGTCTGTATGTATGTATGTAATTATCTTAATGCGCTTAATCGCAGCCATAAATCCTTTGCCATAACAGCTGCCACCACTGCCAGCGCCGCGGTAAGTACAAAATGTGGAGCTGTTGTGCGCGCATGCGCAACTTTACTGTCAGCGCTAGATAATGTCAAACTGCTACATTTGAGCTAGTTTGTTTCCCATATGTACATGCTTACTTACATACATACATACATATACATATAGACACATATGCACTTATTTATATAGCCGACGCTTATTAGACGCATTGTTGGCATTTATAGGACACTAAGGCGGCTAAGACAGATTGTTGGCAACTGATATTCGACTAAAGTTGAAATCTCCAAAATGCTGACTGACAGCGCAACAAGGCAAACGGCAACATGACATGGAAAATTCTATATGTACTTACAATATTATACGACACAAACTATTAACCAGTAATAACAACAATGTGAACAACAATTCAGATGACTTTGATCTAACTGGCGATTGTGAATTTACTAGCGCTTTGCTTGATCTAAAATAGCGATAAGCCAGCGGGCTGCGTCTGCGTCTAAGGCGCGTGCTTAACTCATTCGCACATACATATGCACACACACATGCGAGCATACAAATAAAACATACATATTACGACGAGCTTGTTGCGCTGGGAGCGTAGAAAATGCAAAAAAATAAAAAATTTAAAAATAAAACACAATTTATTGTGATTATTTTTAAATGGCCATAAATTTAGTTTCTGCCATAAATCAGCGACTATGCATTGCGCGAGTGTGTTGATTTAATGGCGCTTTGACGCTCCAATGCAGCACTGTGCTTGTCAGTTAAAGCGTTATGAAAAGTACACGGTGAGAAATTATGCTACGAAACAGTAGAGAAAAATATTATTTCTTGTATTAAAACTTATCCGTGCTTTTTAACACATGCATGCTTCTCCATAAAATTCAGCGCGAATAAGCGCTATTCAGCTCCACTTAATCAATTCAGCTGCCCTCAACTAAATTCGGCGTTGAAAATTTGTTACTATACATGCTTTTACAACAACTTTGAACATGTTAACCTAATTCAGCTCGGTTTCCCAATTAAATTAAGGATTTTAAAATATTTGTTTCTTAAATTCGTATAAAAATTAGAACCGAATTTTTTTTATGTATATAAATTTTTTTGCGCAAAAAAAAATTTAATTATCAGAATATTAACGTCTATCCACGTCAAATTTAATTGGATGAGACTAAGCATAACTCAGCTCCAATTATGTAAATTCAGCCGCCTTCGACTAAATTCAGCGCTAAATTTCATCACCAAAGTTATGGTATGAAGCCTTAAACTCTATTCAGCGCTAAGAATTATTCGCTCTTTATCTCTTTTAAAACAATTATAAAAAATTGAGCTCCACAAATTTTAATTTGACAGTCGAAAACTAAATTCAGCATTGAAGGTTGTTTGTTTTCTATTGTCTTAAAGCAATATTTTCCGCGACATTTTACTCATGCGGCCATTTTTCAGATTTTTAAAGTATTTTATTCATTCAATATCTTTTTAGTAGGTACATATAAGTGTGTATGTATTCCACTTGATCAAAAATGTACTTAAGTGAGCACTTTTTTATTGTATTATTTTAAAACATGTGCTTAGTTATCTTTATAAACTTGATTAACCGTATTCCAGCACTATTCAGCTTAATAAAATGAAATTTAGCGGCGTATAATTTAATTCAGCACCGTAAATTATGTCGCTTAAATCTTTTTTATATAAAATTTAGAAAATTTCGGCTCCTTTAAATTTAATTCCGCAGCTTTAATCTAAATTCAGCGCTACAAACTGTTTCTTGAACATACTTCTTATGGCAATTTAAAACAAATTAGGGTAATTTATCGCAATTTTCTACTTTTTCAGTATGTATTTATTTACAATATATTCTTCTATACACAACTTTTTCTCGCATTTTGGTATCCTTTGAGAATCAGTCAAGTTCATTATGTTATTCAGCATTATTCATTATTGACCTTGCACAGCGTATAAAGACATTCAGCACAATTATAGTAAATTTGCTAAAAAAAAGTACACCTCTAATAATGTTAAACGGGCAAAAGAGGATTTGGCGATTCAGCACGCATTCAGCAAAATAGTTTTTTTTTTGCTTAAATTTTTATTTTTGATACTGTTACCAACTTAAGCTATTAAGAACTCAGCACAAATTCAACTAGAATAATTTCATTTAGCTTACTTAAAAAATAAATAAAATAGAAAACGACTAGTAGCTTAAAAATTTGGTTATTAGCAGTACCACTTCAATTCAGCTATCAAATGTACATAAAAAGAATAATAGAAAACATTTCCATTTATAGATGCATTTCAAAAATTTGACATAAGCAATTCAGCACAATTTTGTTACATATACATACATACAATGAATGAATAATTTTTTTATTTTTAATAAATATTTCTATGTAAAACCAGTAAGAATTTTTTAACAAAATTGTGCTGAATTACTTATGTCAAATTTTTCAAATTCATCTAGAAAAGAAAATTTTTCTAGTGCCAAATAGGAAAGGGAGGATAAAATAAAATTTCTCCAGTGCATTTAGGAAGACACAATAGCGCTTTTGAATGCTCGCCAAGGCTCTACCTCATTGCTGTAAAATATTCAATCAATCCCAACCTCACTCACTCACAATCGAGTGACAGCTATTAATTCCACTGTCTATCCATATAAGCCACTTAATCTATTGCTTTTTCATGCATACCCGTACATACGGATTACCTGTCCATCTGTCGGACAGTCTGTCTCGCTGTCTGCACCTCAGGCAAGTGGGTAATATCTTTTTAGCGCCTCATAAATTTTCAACAAGCGCCAGCAAAGTGCCAATAGCAATTAGATTGCAAAATAAATTAACATAGTTTTGTATGTACATATGTATGTAGACACGTATGTATTTTATGTAGCGGTATTTTTTACCATTGTATGCAAATATCAGAGTCGTACTTTTCATTAGCGATTTATCAGTCAAGCTTCCACAAATGTATCTACATACATATAAACGTACTTACATATGTAAGCGCAAATATTGGTTGATGTTTTTCATTTAATTAAATTTGAATTCATAATATCCATTATCTTTCCCGTTGATTTGCGTACTCAGCGGAATTCAGCAATCCAGCTACCTTGCTATCTGGCAAAACTATGCTATTTTCTTACTTTTTGTAAAAATATGTTTCAACCGCCTTTTGAACTGTAAGCCCATCCAGCACATATGTAGTTGTTTTTGTTATTTTATGGCCTTATAACAATTATATTCAACAATTTTTATTGAGCTTGAGGCCGTTTTTAATGAAAAACTTATTGTGAAAAAGCAACNGAAGTGATAACTATTTCGGAAATCACAACATTTCCTCATCAGCCTTCTTTCAGTAGGACTCGAACCGACGATCAAACAATAATAGCTGTCACTTCTACCATTTTTCAAATTATTGTTGCTTTTCCACAATAAGTTTTTCATTAAAAACGGCCTCAAGCTCAATAAAAATTGTTGGGTACATGTGTATGTTAAAACTATTTTCAATGGTGATCATAAACTTTGGGTTTACTCTGCAGGCGTATCATAAATTTCTATCGCTTTTCATACCCACTGTTAAAATTACAAAAAAGTTGCATCTCCTTATCATATTGAACACCATTTATTCAGCTTAAGAAAGATTTTTTTCTGAACAATACGTACAGAAAAGTAATACTTTTGTTGGCTCTCCATCTAGGGTCTTATTCCTAACCGGACCAGCAGCAAACTCAGAAAAAATCATTAAAATTATGGCGAACTACATATCTACAGTAGCAATAGAAGTACTCAAAATGAAATATTCTTGTGACATATGTATAGATGCATGTGCTGGAACTAGGTTAGGTTAGGTAAGGTAAGGTGGCAGCCCCGGAGCTCACTTAGACAATGTGAGATTGTCCTTTGTGATACCACAATTCTGAATCGGCTCCGAGCCGATTATGTATTTACGAGTTGGGCTAATCTCAATGTCCCAGAGCTCCTCGGGGCTATTTAGAAAGTGAGATCCAAAAGCCTCACAAACGCTGGGCACCAAAGAAGGTAGTTTTGATGTGATTTCACCTCGTTCTATATATTCCAGGCAACTGCGACATAAGGGGTCCGGTAGCCTTACTGCGTAAATATCGATAGGAGAGTGTGAGGAGTGCCCTCGACAGCCCCCCCCTAGTTTTACCCTCGGCCAAAAGGACCTTACGATCTCGCATGTCGGGGTTTTCGCTCAGCGCTCGTTGAGCTGACATGAGGCCCATCTATCCAAGAGTGTACGACAAGCGATCAATGGCACCCCCAGCCGCTCTTTATCTGATGTTAACGTTTCACGAGTACTTTCCCAGGCCAGTTCGTTAGCCAAACAGTTCCCCTCAATGTCGTTGTTACCTGGAACCCAAATAAGCCTAATGCAGAATTATTCCGACGTGACCGAAAGAGAGATCAGACATTCCCCTAAACCAAGTTAGAGTGCACCTCCTACGAACTGAAGGTAATGGTAGCCGCTTGCTTATCAGAATATAAGCTCTCTTCCCTGGCTGTTATATTGCCCCTTAGCAGTGAATCCACCGCCTCCTTGATAGCAGCTGCTTCCGCCTGAAATACCCTGCAGGAGTTCGGGAGCCTGATCTTAGTACTGATGCTCAGCTCTCGACAGAAGACCCCACTACCAACCCTGCCGTCTAGTTTCGATTCATCCGTAAAGAATTTCACCGCACCCATCCTCCAGAAATCCCACCCGGCGCACTCCTCCCTTAAGGGAATGCGGACAGAGAAGAAGCTCCTAGGAGGTATATCGGTGGCGCAGTAATCCGTACGATTAGGGATGAGATCGTAGCCCCCTAGAACTCCAGAGTGTTTAGTCCCTAAGTTGGTTAACCAATCGCTTTGCCTGAGTCTAATAGCCGTACGCACCGCGACAATTCTGCCTGCAACGTCGACAGGTACTACGTTCAGCATTACCTTCAGTGCTAATGTAGCGGCGGTCCGCAGTGCCCCACTAATACCAATTAATGTAGCCCATTGTAACGCTCCAGCAGCCTAGCTAGTATAGCTTTTTCCAGTGAGTTTCACCAGACTAGAGCGCCATAAATCATAATTGGCTTGACTACGGTCTCGTACAGCCAATAGACAACAATAGCTCCCTGCAATATAAGGCCACTGTGGCCTTCCTTGCCCTTTCCTCGATGTTTGGCCTCCACGACAACTCCCTGTCTGGGAGCAAGCCCAAGTACTTGACTCTGTCAGACAGCGGCGGGAATTTTATATTTTCTTGTAAATAAGACAATTTCTGTCTTACTTCGGTTGACGGCGAAGCCATTTTTGGCAGCCTAGTTAGTAACTATGTTAAGGTGCCGTTGGGTCACTTCATACAGCGTGTTCAGGTATTTACCTTTAACTACGAGTGCAACATCGTTTGCATAGGCACTTACCCGACAGCCGTGTTTCCCCAGCTCCACTAGTGGGTGTGAGAGAACACTTCCCTGCGGGGTGCCCCTGTACACCATGCAAGGCAAGCAGGCGCTGCCCCAGATGGCCTGCTCGAACTATGAATTACGACATTTTTGGAGAAAACATTTTTCTCCCATATTAGAATTTTGATATTATTTCAGATATCGTTAATCGCTTTTGGTTTTGTTGAAATTTTTCTCTGCAAAAGCTAACTAAATCCCCACTTCGATATATGCACAAATAATATCACGTCACGTAAAAACACGAACATTTTTAATGGTAATTCCGCGAAACTTAAAGTTTTATTCTTATTCTATTATTTTTTAGCTCAATTTTTCTTACCGGGTGTGAACCCACGCTAACCCACGCTAACGACAACGCGATCTACTTCCGGCACGCGCAAAGCGAGCTTACATTCCCAACAAAGTGTGACCTGATAAGAATTAGCGATACTTATGTGCATACACACACGTACATAAATATGGGTGTATTACTTTATATAGTACAAATAGTTTCTAACAGTTTTGCCCTTTTATCGCCTTATACATCTTTACCTCTTTGCATACAAAATATATCTGTGTTCGTATGGAAAAGTAGCTTATGTCGAAAGGCTGGCTTTAGTATAAATCGGCATTCGCAGCATACGATTGCGAATGATTTACGGGCGCTAAGCCGTTAAACAACTTTTAGCTAATAAACGTGCAAGAAATAGTTCCGGTACTAGCAAGTCAATATTCTTTTAAAGTCTCATCAAAAAATTCCTTGTCGTTTAAAAAATAAAGGGGATGCCGCATTATACTAAAACCGGCCTTTCGACATAAGCTACTTTTCCATACGAACACAGATATGTATGTTTTTTAATATCTTTGAAACAATATTGGAACTTACCTTTATATTCTTTTATATTTCTTTACAGGTAAGCCGATTTAAAACTCAACACTAAGGACAATGTAAGGACGACCTGCTTAACCAACTGCTTACGTAGATGGTATCTACACCATAGTACACGGTGAGATACTGTACACATTCAGCTCAAGCTGAGCCAAGCACAACACGATACCTCTGAACAAGCAAAGAAGGGCTCAGCATTAAACTTCCAAAAACCTAAATTAGTCTTTTCAAGAATAATAAATGAGAATTCCAAAGGGTCTAGAACTAAGCTTGACTCTCCGTCTGAAGCAAAGCGCCTTCGGATCCATTCCCATATGGCACAAGTTTAGGGCGACGACGACTGCAACGGGACTGTCGGTCACGGATATGTTCAAAACACGGGACAATATGTTTATTCAGTGCATGATTTAACAAGCAGATCGAAATTGGCAAGGGTTTAGTGATTCGCGCGAAGTAATTCCTTTAAAATGTCGAATTATTGTAGCTTTTCTGACGCAGAAGCTTTAGACATTAGATCAGATTTGGTTACGGTGGTTGTCATTCCGCACAGTCCGGCAGAGAGACACACTTAGGCCAATTTCCCGTAGTTTCCCATATGATATACCCATCGTGTAACCTTAACCTTGAAGTTCGCGGATGTCCAGGGTCGAGATCAGCTATACACCGAAACAAATATTCATTGAAAATAGTGAATATGTTGCTTTAAAAATTGAATTTTAACAGATATTGTACGTAAATAAATAAACTGAATCTATTCAAAATAATTTCACTCAAAACTCGACCGAAAATAGCTAACAGCTCGCGCATGCAAAAATATTTAATTTTGCTA